AAGTTTTATCACATGGCTAAATGATTGACTATTATATTATGATAAGGTCATGCTTTTCTATAAAAAGTTGCAAGAAATTTTAAATCACGGACCTATTGGTTTGTTTTACTTTTTACTTAATTAGTGAAAAACAAGATGGACTGATCTAAATGATGAAAAAAATCTGTTTACTTTCTTGTGTAAATAGTGCTATTTAGAATTTTATGCAAATGATAATTAAAGTTTCTATGTAAATAAGTGTAACATAGCGGATATTATATTCAATGGTAGCGGCCATTCATATTTGCAAAGCCAGCATCATTTTCTGTACAGAAACCGGCAATGTGTTGCTCAAGGCGCTATAAACAAAGCAGCTGATAAAATGTTACTCTCATAACTGTTAACAAGAACTGTTTTCGCAAATGGTATTATATATAATAATAACTATTCCGCCGTGTTAGGTGCAGGAGCTATTATTAGAAGGAGAAGAGGTAAAATTTTGTTTTAGAAATGCGCAATCAATATTGTTTTGTCTGAAATTGAGCATAAAATAAAAAATAACTTCAGCCAAAGAGCATAACTGGCATTATACTCAGGCCCATCAATTGGTATGGAAAAAAATAATTTTACCAGGTTTCAAAAAACCAATTAAAATTCAAAAAAACATAAATATTAAAATCTAAAAATGTATATATGTATGTCTATACATACATATAATGATTTATGGCCGCTTAATAACTGACGGTGACTCACTATAACATCCTACAGTCACGCCGAAACTAAGAGATTGTCTCCTCTTATGGCCGCTTAGTAACTGACGGTGACTCACTATAACATCCTACAGTCACGCCGAAACTAAGAGGAGAGAATCACTGTAGAAAAGGTAATAATTTATTGTGGAAATTGTGTGATAAATTTAAAAAAATTATAGACTTATCCAAGTTAATCTAACTTAGTCTAACTTATCCTTATGCGTTACAAAAAAAAAACAAATAATAAAATAGTGAGATGGCGTCAGTTTTTAAGAAGTATTAACAAAAATAAACAAAAAAATAAATTTCAAAAAAGTTCAGTATTTAATTGATTATATACCGCTGACATTTAATCATGCTTTTCGAAACCACGGCAGTTGTAAACAATACTTGTGTGAAAAGACAAAATCTTCTTTTCAAATTTCCGCTGAGTTGTAAGTAGAAGGCCAAATGGGTCATGTGTCCATTTTAATTAAATATATTTTATATGAAGTGATCTTGACTACGTTTCATCAATAAACCTTTGGTAAAAATTAAAACAGGAATGTTACAATTGTGTTTACAAAAAACATTATTAGTTGAACCTTGCAGCTTGTTTATTATTTTTATTATAAATACCTATAAATGTATATATTATTAATAAATAGTTCCCATAATATTTTGGATTATTTTTTATTTTGCCCTATCTGTAATGTTCTACGCTCTATAGAAAATGTGGAGTATGACATGACTGACAATCTTTCGAACGTTTTATCTAGGTACAAAGATGTTTTACGTTTTCGTCGCCTCCACATGATATTTTTGTCAGCATAAGGTACCCTTCTATATCTGAAACGAATATAAATATTGCTACAAAGTAAAGTAATAGGCTATACAAGGCCCTCTACTGGACACAGGGCTCTTTTTTTTATTTCTGAGAGGGTTTTAGGGCAAGGGAATGCCCGCCGTGCTTCCCCAATGCGTGTTGACGAAAATTGCAATTACAAATTTCATTCATGCTGTCGGGGATCAAACCGGGAAAATTTACAGCGAGCGCTTTGACCCAGATCTACTAATACAATACAAATAAATACGATTTAACATATATAATAAAAAAACTCTTACGTACTTGAAACTTGAACACTTGATAGCTCGTGACGCCTACCGGACAAAGCTACGGCACAAGATGCGTGAAGATGCGTAACCGCGACATAATTCTCAGTGATGCGCAAGCATAACAGGCAGTATGTCACTTATATAATTGTCATCTCTGCAGTCTATTAATCTTTGCACTTTTATAAGTAATACAGAATGTAGTTGCTAGACGGTGTTGACGTCGGCTAAAATCTCTGCGATCGCCGTTTCGTCAAGGTCATTCAGGCTAGTTAAAGCCTTAAATAGTAAATTTTCTTTAAAATACTAAATCATTTATACACAGTAAAGTTCAGAACTCTATGCAATTAGTGAGTTATAGTAAAATAAATAATTTATTTATGTTCAATCGAAACTGAATGAGCTGTACTCGCTAACCACAGCCACACCGCCACCGAATACCGAACGAAGAGCAAAGAGACGACCGACAGAATCGGATCAAGCGGGTCTCACATTTGATTCAAAATTATCAATTTGATTTAAATTAATGACCGACCGGAATGGCCCGATTCAAACGCATCTATGACAAAATTATGAGATGTTAAGGCTGATAGCCATCAAAGAATATATTTTGTGTATTCTAAAAAGTCAGTCGTTCGAAAACTTCGCAAATTCTAAAAATCAAAGTATATAAATGTGTTATAATGAGGGCATTCACTACTTTTTCCGCCACCAGCGCGACGCCACTTACAAGTGAGGTATAATATTTGACAGATTTCATAGCGGGGAATAGAATAGAATAGAATAGAATAGAATGATTTTTATTCAATATGGATTATGAAATAATACTTATTGAAAGTCATTATTTTATTTACCACTGGTTCGGAAAATACCTCCTGTCCTGGGAAGAACCAGCAAGAAACCCAGCGGGACTTTTTTTTTTAAACATAATTTCACTTAACAATAATTTTGATTATACAATTTTAAATGAATTTTCATAGAACCAGCATGGTGGCGATCACCTTATTCCCAGGGGTTATTTTCACTCATGTATTCCTTGATATTATAATAACCCTTTTTGTACAGTTGTTCTTTAATAAAACTTTTAAACTTGTTTATTGACAAACTTTGAACATGTTCTGGGATTCTGTTGTAAAAGCGTATACATTGCCCCATAAATGAATTACTAATTCTGTGGAGTCTTGTAAGTGGCATTACAAGCTTATGTTTGTTCCTAGTGTTTAAGGTATGAACATCCTTATTCTTATTAAAGCTAATTATGTTTTTATGTACATACATTACATTTTCATAAATATATTGCGATGCCAAAGTTAATATGTTTATTTCTTTAAATTTTTCTCTAAGGGACTCTTTACAATTTAGATTATAAATCGCCCGTACGGCTCTCTTTTGCAAAACAAATATAGCTTCAATATCAGTCGCATTACCCCATAGCAAAATTCCATAAGACATTACGCTATGAAAGTAACTAAAATACACTAACCTAGCTGTCTCAACATCTATGAGACTTCTAATCTTACTTACAGCATATGCTGCAGAACTAAGTCTGCTTGCTAATTTAGATATATGGGGGCCCCATTGAAGTTTCGCGTCAATAGTAATACCGAGAAAAACAGTGGTATCCACAAGACTCAACTCCTCCCCATTTAAGAGCACATTGGTTTTCGAATGTTTTACATTAGGTATTGTAAATTTAATACATTTTGTCTTATTGCCGTTTAAGAGCAAATTGTTGGCGTTAAACCAATGTACTAGTTTCGATAGAGCATTATTTACATCGTCATATTTAATTGACTGCCGTTTCAGTTTGAAAATTAAAGAGGTATCGTCAGCAAATAATACTATATCGTGATTGTCCCCTACAAGATAAGGTAAGTCATTAATATAGATTAAGAACAGGAATGGGCCAAGAATCGAGCCCTGAGGAACGCCCATTGATACTACCGATCCGGAGGAACATTTACCATTAATGACGACTTTTTGAGTTCTGTTACTTAAATATGAAGTAATAAGTTTAAGCGCCAAATTTTTTACACCGTAATGTTGTAGTTTCCTGATTAATGTATCATGATGAACACAATCGAAAGCCTTGGAAAGGTCACAGAAAATACCTAAGGCATCTTGTGAATTCTCCCAGGCATTAAAAATATATTTCATAAGCTCAACACCGGCGTCAGACGTCGAGTGACCCCTTGTAAAACCAAATTGATTTTTATGAAGTAATTTATTTGTATTAAAAAAAATTAACAATTGATCCAAAATTATTTTTTCAAAAATTTTACTGAGAGTTGGTAGTACAGAAATAGGTCTATAATTAGCGGGGTCCAATGTACTACCAGATTTAAATAAAGGTATTACTTTACTATACTTCATTAAATCAGGAAACACACCAGAATCGATACAAGTATTAAAAATAATAGCAAGATGAGGTGCAATTAAATCTATTATGGACGTAATCACTGTAACGGAAATCCCCCACAAATCTGCGGTTTTCTTTACATCAATGGTTTTGAAGTATTTTACAATATTATGCGGTAATACTTTTTCAAATCTAAATTCTTTTAAACAGGTATTAACATTCTGTTTAAGTAATGATTCGGCGACAGTTGGAGAAGCATTCAATGACTCTGTTGTCAAGATAGGAACATCAGTGAAATATTTCTCAAACACCGCTGCAACTTCTTGATTTGATTTAGTCAATTCATTATTAATTTTTAATTGATAGTTTGAATTACGAGGTTTCTCATTACCAGTTTCGCTGTTAATTATACTCCACGTCATTTTAATTTTATTCTTAGCTGTCTTAATTTTGTTACTAATATGTAATGATTTGGCTGTGGAGCAAACTCTTTTAAACATTTTAGAATAATTTTTTACATATTCTTTAAAAGCATCGGAAAGATTATACGATCTTTCATGGTAAAGGTCATATAACCTTCGTCTGCTTTTATGAATTCCTACTGTCGCCCACTCATTAAATGCCTTGCGACTGTTTCTGGAGAATGTTTTAGAAGTGAATGTTTTATTAAATTCATTGTTTATAAAGGTAAATAATTCTCTATATAAATAGTCTGCATTGTTCTTATAAGAAAGGGATGGAAGGATTTTTAACATATTACTTCTAAATCTCTCCAGGCGTTTTGCATTAATAGGAACAAACACAATTTTCTCATTTACCTGTTTTTTGTGCATATAAGGTAACGAAACCAGTTGTCCACAGTGATCTGAACTAAGTTTTTGAATTATTGATTTGTTGATTGGTACAACACCTGTAAAAATATTATCAATACAAGTTGCACTACACCCTGCAATACGTGTAGCTTCAAAGAATAAATTATTAAGATTATAGGATTTGAACAAAGAACAGAATTTAATACTGATGGAAGAAGTTTCCAGGAGATTGATATTAAAGTCTCCACACACTACAAGAGATTTATTCTGTTTATTAAGCTTAACTAAAACTTCTTCCATAATTTTTTCAAAAGTATCATAACTTGAACATGGGGGTCTGTAAACACTGACAACAATAAGGTGCTCAAGCTCAACACATGCCATTTCTACAGTACGCTCAACAGATAGGCTCACAATGTCTTTACGTTCTTTACATGATAAGGACTTATTAGCTAATATTAAGGAGCCACCACGTAATTTAGTATCTCTATTGAACGAACTGACCACCTGGTGATTACTGAAATTAAATATGGAGTTGTATTCTTTCAACCAATGTTCTGTAATACATAAAATATTTATACTGTTACTATTTAAAAATAATTCAATTTCTAATTCTTTGCCTAACATACCTTGTATATTTTGATGCACCAGGTTGATACAGTTTTTATTATTTTTATTTTGTAAAATTGCATAATTATGTATTGGTAAGTTGCATTCTAAGCTATTTAAATTATCTTTGCTAGAGATTACCTCTATTGTCTTATTATCTAATTTAAATTACTTGGAACTGGTTCCAAATCAAATGTAAAATTATTTTGTTGCTCAAAAGAAGCAGGTGTCAAGGTAGCCAAATCATTGGCTGAGTTAAAATATAAATAATAAGATAGCGTATCTGCTACCAGTCTTAAACTATACTTTGATAGGTAATACCTATCTCTTGTCAAAAACTTCTTAGTTAAATTATTAATATGAATTAAATGAAATTTATCATTATTATTCTTACAATTAAATGTCAAATTTAAGTTATTGTTACATGTCAAGTTATGCATCATTAAATTTAAATTATGTCTTAGTTTATTTTCCTGTGGCCACCCCTCTATATAAGGCAATGTAAACAAGATAACTTTAACCACATTTATGTTATTGAGATATTCAATATATTTTAATAATTGATTCTTGTTCATATTGCCTCTTCTCCCAACAAAAATTATTAATATACTATTAGGGTTAAATTTACTAGTTAAAATTTTATTCATAATATCACTGAATGATGCTCCAGGCATGCAGTAATTACTTATCTGTTGCCTTTTTAAACAGTTATTCAATGATATACCCAAGTTTTTGCCTATGTCATCACTATACACAATTATATTATTTTTTTCATTATATGAATTACTTTTTAAATTTATCTGCTTTGTTATGGTACTATCATAGAGTGTAGGTAAAGAAAATGAAGTATTACTGCTTGTCGTATTATTAACACACACTGTCCCTAAAGAACCTGGCAGTGAGCGCTGATATTCAGTTTGATATTTTAATAAGGAGTCAAAACGTTCCTCGTTATATTTGCAGGACTTTACCAGATTATCCATGGCCAGTATGTGTTCTTTTATCTCATTCCCTGCAGATTGATATTTATTTGACATAATTTGTAATGAGGTTTGAAGTGATAAAATTTCTGAATTAAGACACTCTATTTCAGTCTCATAACAATTTTTCATGTTTTCCACCTCAATTGAATATAATTTAATTTTACTAATTAACTCTTGCTTTTCCTTACATACATTTGTATAATTTTTAATATTAATTTTAGTTTTAACTAATTTTTGCACTTTCCTAATATATTTATTAATTTTTATATATTTTTTTAATTTCCTTCTGCTGCTTGTAATCCTTTCTGCTGTTCTTGATGTGGTAGAATCATCAGTCAAATCTATTGTTGTGGAGGGTTGCAACGTTTTATGAAATTTACATTCTACGAGCTCCTCGAACAGACTCTGAGTTTTAAGTGCATGCAAGTTATCAATGTTTTGTTTAAATTCTGAAATTTGCTCATTAGCTTCAGTTAATTGTAATTTCAATGCAGCAATTAATCTGAGGGATTCCTCATATTCTTTGCTGCATTGGTCAAACTCATCGAATGTCCTCTGGAGCTGATCCCTTTCCTTTAAAATATCTGTATAGTCTCTATGTAACTTAACCATATCACTTTTCAATTGAGTATTTTTCGAAATTATACTTATTATTTCCTTTTCGTTGTCATCCCTTTCTTTAAGTAACAGCTCACACTGCTCCCTGGACGCCCTCAGTTCTTGGAGCGCAAGATGGAGTTGGTTCTCCATCTGGCGCGTTTTGGCGTTACGAGTATTCATTTTACTATGTATTTTAAATAGTAAAAGAAAACAAAGATGGAAAATCAAGGGAACAGAGTAAGCAAATATCCAATTATAGGACTCTAATTACAGATCTCAAATTAAATTATCAAGAAAACAATTCAAAATGAAATCCGAAAACAACAACACTTAAGAGATATATCGTAAATATTAAAAGGGATAACAAGAATTACAGTAACTTTTAAACGATGTTCGTTACCTGCTGTCACTTTAAGTTGAGAGGCACTAAAAATTTATTTATTTAAATATTTACCACTTTTATTTATTACACAATAAAATTTGTTCGTAATTAACAACTATAACTTAAATTTGAGGTGGAAATGATCAATTACAATAATTATTTTTACGAAATTATTTGGGAGCCCAATTTTTTAACTATTTGTCACCGGGGTTGCCACAGAGAAGTTAATTTGTTCGGAAAATGTAATGGTTAATGTTTCTTTCTATACTATTAGTTATATTTTGTATTAATAAGAATAAAAATAAATAAACCAAATCACAGATATTCATAAAAGTAGATTTTTTTTTAAAAGTTAAAAATGTGCAAAAAATTAAAGAGCAAACCACTGAGGCATTGTTTTCTGTGTTAATATAATACTCTAGAAACTGATAAACTTTTATTTAAAATTTAAAACTAACTTCTCAATTAAATGACATTGTGTAACAAAAAACATTAACTCAGCGACATCTGGCGAGCAGAAAATTATTAGCCCTCTGTACTCATTAGTAACTGGTTGCCTGTACCAAATATCTGCTTTCTAATAATGTACTGTACTGTTAGCCTACACGGCTTTTAAAGCTACATCGGACTCAGGGCTTGCGGCCTTTCAGGCCTATAAAATTCTGTTAATGTCTTAAATTACCTGTCATCGGGGTGTAACATCGGACTAAAATATGCACGAACTCTTGCTTCAACACTGGCGTTATAATAGCAGTCATCTATTATTATTAGTTATTAATGCCTTTGTGGCTGAAAAAAACGTCCTGCCTAAATTATATATCGTTCTCACAAAACGAAATAAAATTAACTCTTCAACAATTATTCGCACTCTTCTATCTCTCTGTAAAAATTTAGGTGAAAACTTTTTCGATATCGACGGCGTAAAGTTTACATATAAAACCTGGAAAAGCGCAGTAAAGGCCTACACACTACCATATTGACAATTTGTGCTTCAGGCAAAGCAAGCGTAGTAGAGTGTGACGTCGATGATTAATTGATACGTTGTCCGTAGGTACAACAGGCGGCGGGCTGAGCGGGTGAGAAGCATTTATACTTGCGTTTGTAATCAATTACTGAAACTTCATCTTTACTTTCGTGTACATATTTGTCGTAGGTGCCGCGCTTGGCAGTTGGATGGCTAACGAAAGTTTATTTATTACACCCATAGGGCTGTAATCAGAAAATGATGCTGGTCTACTGTTTTAGTTTCCCTCTGTCGCCTCTTACTACAGCCACGGAATGGTATATGGAGTAGATCATAAAGATAGACCTTACAGAATACCAGCTCAATAGTAGGAGAATAACGCTTCTGTGTTTATGATTATTATATGCATACATATGTATATCAGAACCAGCGACTCTATTTTTTGCTGGTAATGTGGCATTCCTGTTTGTGGAAGTGACTGTTGATTATTATGCAAGGATAGATGTAAATGTCTATGGACTACAGCATCTACTTATCGAAAGGTAGACTTAGTGTTTGTTTGTCACTTGTATGAAACAAACAAAACTCGCGCTAGACGTCCTTTGCCTGGGAGTGCGCCTGTGTTAGTGCCACCTTCTTAGCTATTTCTGCCGCCAAGAAGCAGCGCTTGAACTGATGTGCTCCGGTGCGAAGTGCATAGACGGGGTTCTTTATACCGTTAATTTGTATAACTATAGGCTGTGAGAGTATTCAAACTTAGTGTTCAGAGGTGTCGACGCATCTTGTTTGAAGTTGGTTGCAAGTGTCTATGGACTACAGGAACTAAGTAGCAACAGGTGGAGTGTAAGTTCGTTCGTCAATTAAAAATGTAAAGGTGAGATTTATATGCTATAAATTAGCCTTGCATAGTGCGTAAAGTCTAAATAATGTTCAATGACTTATAATTTATAATGGTTGCAACTAGGTGTCCTCTTGAGTCACCTACATCAGCCATGAATAAATCTAATACCGTAATTTAACCAACCGCAAGAGGCGTTAACCATTCCAATAAGCTAAAATCTGATAATTTAAAATTAAAAATGTTGTACAGCCGACTTCAATATAAGTTATTAAGATTAACTCAAAAACTATTGGCTTGAATTTGATCAAATTCATATGGGACCACCCGAGAACTACCAGCTTTCAAACAAAAAAAGAATTATCGAAATCAGTCCAATCAGTAAAAAACAAAAAAAAATTACATTCGAATTGAGTACCGCCTCCTTTTTGGAAGTCGGCAGAAAATGCTTTCCCGCATTTTTCGAATGGCAGATTCAACCATTGGGTTACAGTCTTTTTTTTTTATAGGAGAGGGGGCAAACGAGCATGCGGCTCACCTGATGGTAAGTGACTACCGCCGCCCATGAACAACTGCAACACCAGGGGAATCGCAGATGCGTTGCCGGCCTTTTAAAAAGGAGTACGCTCTTTTCTTGAAGGTCCCTAAGTCGTATCGGTCCGGAAAAATCGCTGATGGTAATCGATTCCACAAGGAGGTCGTGCGAGGAAGAAAACATCTTCTAAATCGCACAGTGGTGGACCGCCAATCATCCAGATGGTGTGGATGGTATCGGGAGTTCTGCCGCGATGTGCGTTCGTGAAATTTGGCGGCTGGGATTAATCCGAACAATTCCTCAGAGCACTCCCCATGGTAGATGCGAAAGAAAATGCAAAGGGATGCAACATCTCTTCGCAGTGCCAATGAATCGAGCCGATCGGAAAGGGCTCGGTCGTCGACAATTCGAGCCGTTGGATGCGGTCAAGTGGAAGGAGCTGGCACTGGGGAGCCCCTGCCCAGAGATGGGAACAGTATTCCATGTGAGGCCGAACTTGCGCCTTGTAAAGTAGCAGGCGGTGTGCCGGCATGAAATACTGTCCCGCTCTACTGAGCACGCCAAGCTTTTTAGAGGCCAATTTGGCCTTCCCTTCCAAGTGACCACGAAACTGCACGTCACTCGATATGTCGACTCCGAGGATACCGATACTGGCTGAGGCAAGAAGGGGAGTGCCTTGAAACTGAGGAGATACGACAAAGGGGTTCTTTTTAGCGGTAAACGCGCAAACTTGTGTCTTCTGAGGATTAAATTGGACTAGATTTAGTCGCCCCCAATCCGAGACTTTGTTCAGCAAAGACTCGACTTCAGACACAAGTTTGTTCCGGTACTCAGCGACGTTTTCCCGAGAAATATTGGCACGGCCGGTGTATAGAGCATCACCAGTGCTGTCATCCGCATAGCAATGAATGTTACCAGTTAGCAACATATCATTGATATGCAGAAGAAACAGCGTTGGTGATAGCACACAGCCTTGTGGAACACCAGCGTTAATAGGCTTGTAGTCAGAGCATGCACCGTCTACAACGACCTTGATGCTCCGATCTGCAAGGAAGCTGGTGATCCAATTGCACAATTTCTCGGGAAGCCCTTAGGAAGGGAGCTTCGAAAGAAGCGCTGTGTGCCAAACCCGATCGAAGGCCTTCGCAATGTCCAGACTAACGGCCAACGCCTCCCCCTTGGACTCTACTGCCTCCGCCCATCTATGGGTCAGGTAGACCAGAAGATCACCAGCTGATCGACCCCGACGAAAACCGTATTGGCGGTCACTAATCAGCTGGTGATCCTCAAGGTACCGGATGAGCTGGCAGTTAATAATGGATTCCATTATTTTGGAGAACAAGGAGGTGATCGCGATAGGCCTGTAGTTGGATGGGTCTGAGCGGTCGCCTTTTTTAGGGATCGGGTGGACAAAAGCTGTCTTCCATGAATTCGGGACTACGCCTTGGGAGTAGGAGTACCGGAAAAGACGCGTTAGGACCGGTGCCAACTCCGGAGCACACGTCCTCAGCACAATTGGGGGGATTCCGTCAGGCCCACTCGACTTCTGGATGTCCAGGGAGAGCAGTGCTTTGCGAACCGAGCGCTGTGAGAACAGCACATCCGGCATGGAGCACTCACACCGCGGGATGGTCGGCGGTGTTTTCCCCCCGTCATCAAGAGTCGAGTTGGACGCAAAAAGGGAGCCTAAAAGGTCGGCTTTGTCTTTTGCGTCATGGACCAGTGAGTCATCCTCCCTGTGCAGAGATGGTAGTGATGGCTTACAGAAATTCCCTTGGACAGCCTTGGCGAGAGACCAGAATGCACGGGTTCCCGAAGGAAGGCGAACTAGTTTCTCGCCAATTCTGCCTATGTGCTCTGACTTTGCCTTGGCAATAACTCTTTTGAAGGACCTGGAGGCGAAGTTATACTTCTTTTTAAGTGTGCTGGTATTTACATCCCGAGTCGCCGAAGCCGCAGCCTAGGCTTGATAACACTCCTGTTTACTGCGTAATGCAGTCTTACAGGAGCGACCAAACCAAGGCTGAGATCTGCCTCCGATGGGTACCACAGATGATGGAATAAATAGTTCCATTCCCTGTAGCACCACATCAGTGACAGAGTCAGCAACAGCGCTGGGATCATCCGGCGAGAAGCAAACCCGCCCCCATGGGTAGGATGCAAAGAAGGACCGCATTCCGTCCCAATCCGCCGACCTGTAATGCCAAACATGGCGGCAACCTGCAGAACGCAACCGCGAAGGGAGCGTGAGTGGCACCACACTCCGGATCAGACAATGGTCCGAAGAGCCGAGAGGGACATCGACGGAAACCTGATATCCGTCCGGATGAGAGGTTAGCAGAAGGTCCAACAGGGAAGGTGTATGATCCTACACATCTGGAATCCGCGTAGGCGAAGTAACCAGTTGTGTTAGACCATATGCCAAGGCAAAGTCATAAACAGATCTCCCCGCATGATCGGTTAGACGTGAACCGAGCCATTCGGCATGGTGGGCGTTAAAATCGCCAAGGATCACGATCTCTGCGGATGGGACCTGTTGTAGCAAGAAATCTGTAGCCATTTGGACGTGGTCGATGAGTCGGTCTGTTTCGGCATTACCGCTATGGGACCTATAGAGGCACCCGTAGACGCGCGGATGGTCGTCGCTGTCTACGCGTAGCCAAAGGATGGACAGGTCCGAACCTTCAAGACTGCCGAGGCGTCGAGAACAGATGTCCTCTCTGACATACACGCAAACTACAGCCCGAGGCACAAAGGAATGCTCCAATTTGTACCCCGGGTAGGAGAGATACGAAATATCAGCCGGAGAGGACACCTGCGTCTCGGTCAGAAAGAGCAAGGCCGGCTTCGCCGTCTCGAGATGGTAGTGGACGGCGTTTAGGTTAG